AAATACTGTAAAATATCCTCAGAGCGGAGTCCTCATGAACACCAATTATTCAGGATCTCTAAAGCGCCACCAAATGAAAGTAACAGCTTAGATCAGGTGGCTGAGTCCTCCCCACGAAGCACACACAAAAATCTCTTGTCATGGGGTTCAGAAGACTCTGGCAGAGGTAATCTCTCTAGACCAGCTGCTTAATTCCAGCAAGGCCTGCACATATACCATTCCAGAAAAATGAGTGTCTATTATTAAAGGAGATGCTAGAGCCTTCTTTTGAAAAAAAGAGTCCATTCTAGCACCTGACACACTGGCTGCAGCTTATATGCATTCACTCATCTCCATCTGCTGAAGGGCTTATTGAAAGGCATTCCAACCAGAGGAATTCCATCTAAGAGAAGGCAACAGCAGAATTCTCACCAATAAAGGGAAAAAAAAAAAAAAAGATTACAAGATTTCCTACATTCTAATAATTACCAATTGCAATTAAAAATATGTAAACCCAGGAGTACCTTTTACAATAAATGTGCAAGATCTACATGGAAACACTACAAGACAGAAAGATCTGAATGAAGACACACACCAAATCCTGGATGGAAAGATCTAATATGTAAATAGGAACTTTTTAAGGTTAATTTATATTGGAATTATTTAATTTTGATTTTGAAAATCTCAAAAGTATTTTGGGGATGGGTAATTGGTGGATTAATTACAAAAATCATCAGGAAACATAAACTGATGAAAATAGCTAAGAACACAGTAAAACAAAAAAAAAGGGCAGAAAAGTAGTGATTTGTTTTACCAGATCCTGAAGTGCATGATAAAACCTCAGTGATTAAAAGAGGAAGGGCAGATGGATCAGTGAAAAAAAAGAAGACGTCTAGAAACAGACTCAGCCATAAACAACAGTTTAGTATAGAATAGAGGCAGCAATTTCAAACAGTGAGAGAAGACTGACTCCATAAAGGTAAATGATAAATTTAACAAGTTATGTGATACACAAAAGGGCAATCTCTTTCATAGACTATATTCTTTGTATTATAGAATCTTTTCAAAAGAAAGAAAAAGATAAACTCCTCAGTAGAAAATTGGGCAAAAGTTTAACAGGCAATTCTTTCTCTCTCACACATAAAGATATGAAAATTGTCAAACTCTACTAGTAATACAAGAAATGCAAATCAAAACAATCATCTCTGTGTTTTTGTGTTTTACTTCTCAAATTCATAAAAGTCTTAAATTATAACCTTGTGAGGTATAAGGAAAATATAGCCTATAGCCTGCCTGGTGGGCAATCCAGCAGTCAATCTCAAAACCCCAAACAAGGTGTAGACCATTAATTCCACAACTATAAATTTACCTTAAAGAAATAATTATGATGTTGGACAGAGATTTATCTCCAAGGTAGATTACGGAAGCATTGTTTACATTAGCAAAATACTGGGGAGAACCTAAAATTGGGGATTGGTTATATGAGTTATGGCACATCCATATGATGTAATACTGGGCATTCACTAAAAGTAATGTTAGAAAAGGAGATTTAATGATATTGGAAAACGTTCCTAATGTAGCTTAAAAAGAAGACACAAATGATTTACTATATGATCCCATATTGATTTTAAAAAGTCTGCACAAAAGTCTAGGTGGCTATAGAACTTAGGAATGTTGGCAGTTGTTCCTGCTGCAAGGTCTATTATAGGCAATTTTTATATTCTTTGTGCTTTTCTGAGCTTTCCAATTTTCTAAACTAAACTATATTTTTAAAGTTGTTTTTCAAAAATAATTGGAAAGAGATGATTCAAAGTTCCATTGGCTTCCTCTGGCTGCTAAAATTATGGATAATTTATTCATTTTTAATGATTTCTATGTTTCTCAAAATTTTCTACAAGATTAGTTTTTTAAAAAAGAAACACACCACACACACACACACACACACACACACACACACACACACACACACCAAGGGTGTTTCCTTAGGAGGATAGACCCACACAATTAGTAAAAAGCAGAGAAGCCTAGGCCAATGATAGACTCTAATATCTAATATCTACACCCCAGAGGCCAGGTCGTTATTGGGCTATGTACTCCTAGCACCCACTACATGGCATCTTGGGTCATCATGGACACCTAATTTACTGAATGGAAAATACCACTGCTACCACCACTACCGCCCACCTCCACCATTCTAGAAATCTTTTCTCTTCCCACTAATGCCAAGATTATTTTAACGGTGGAGTCCCAATGAACACCAATTACTCAGAATCTCTAAAGTGCCACAGAAAAGGTTTCTGCGTAAAAGAACTTACCCAAGTATAATCAACTCTGCAATATCAAAGAGAAAACAATTCCCGCAGTTAGAACTTCTTTTCCTAAGTTGCTACTTTTTTTTTTTTTTGAGGCCCATGACAATTTTTTTGCGTGATGTTAAGGTGAAAAATAGCTAACGTGGAGTAGCCTTTAGCAAAGCAGTATTGTTTTATGGCATTCAGTTACAAAAACCAGGGAGATGACAAGAACAGCTGTTCAACTGACTGCAACACCCTAACATCTTAAGCATCCACACCAATAAGGGAGAAGAGCCTGACAACTTTAACTTCCCCCTCTAAACTGCAGCAGCCAATTCTTGGTTAAATGAAGTCAATTTGAGTCCTTACTTCCTTCTCTTCTGTTCATGTGCTGTAGACTAGAGAAAGGATTATCAAGGCTTTAGAGGACCAAATTCCAAACAAGAAAGGACAATAAGGAAACTAGATAAGTAACCCTTCAACAAGCAAAACTTGACTAGTCATGCGGGAGCAGTCAGAACTATAAGCAGCTTGCCCAGTGGTGACTTCAAGTCCAGTTTTCTGGAATCTTGGCCTCAATAGCCACGTGGGCATACCACAGTCTCAAAGCTTAGTAAGTTCACTGAGACTGTCTCTGCGTCTTCCTCATTAGACAAACTACCTTCCTCTAAGATGGGGTCCATGCTGATTTAATACCCCAGTATGAACTTGTTTAATACCTAGCGCTGAGCACAAGTCCTTGGGACACTGTAGGCAGAAAATAAACATCTTTGAATTGCTCTAATACATGATAAAATCGACATTTTGTGGCATTCCTGCAGAGGTGAAAGGCACAAAGCTGTGGTAGCCTAAGAGCCCTTACCTGAAGGGGTGAAATTTTAATAATGAAAATAAATGCCTAAGTAAAATGTTAGAGGGGAGAAGGAGAACTAGAAGACTTTTCAGCAGAAAAACTCCCAGGTTACCCCGTTCACCCCAAAGGCAGGAAGATGGGAGAGGATCTAAACATGAAAAAGAGAAGCCACACCTGACTCCCTTTCCACCTTAAGAAGAGAGACTTTTGAGTTTCTAGTTTATGGTATACAAAATCCCTAAAGGATAAAGGCAGCTCTGACTTAAAGCATGGACAGACACAATCACAAAGAAATTAAAAGGGAAGAAGAGATGAGGAGAAGCACATGAGGCGCACTTACTGTCTTACTGCCTCTCTATCTCTCTCTCCCTCTCTCTCTCCCTCTCTTCCCCTCTCTCTTTCTCTCTCCCCCTCCCACCCTCCCTCCCTCAATTCCACAGTAGAGGAATGCCACATGTTCGCCCATTTCTAAGATTCACCTTCTTAGGAAGGGTCTCGTTTGCCCTTTCACTGATGACATATGTCATGCAGATCCTGACTCTTAGAGTCAGGCTCTCTCTTCAAAGAGGGTTTGCATGATAACAACCACGTATATTTGCAGAGCCATATTACAGATCATCTTCTTGTTCATGCAGGGCACCAAGAAAACCATTCAGTCTGGATGGGTAGCCCGTATTTCAAATTGAAGGGAGTTCAGAGACCAGAATGAAGCTTGTTCAATAGTTCTCATGAGACTCACCTAAGGAGCTTTAAAAAAAAAACAACCTACTAGTGCACAGTCTCAACCCAAACCAATTAAATCAGAATTGCTAGGGGTGAGGTGTGGCTATTGTGTGTGTGTGTGTGTGTGTGTGTGTGTGTGTGTGTGTGTGTGTGTGTGTGTGTTTTAAAGCTCCACAAATAATTATCATTAATTTTGTTTTCAGCATGGTAAAGGCAAGTGGTTATGTTTTTTTGGGGGGTACAAAGTCTTTACTAGAGATAGTGGATTTGCTTTAAAATATCCCATGGGGTGAAGTGGTCTGAGTTATACAAGATTGGCAAAATGTTGATAATTGCTGAAGCTGGGTGATGGATACATAGAATATGATTACATTATTCACTCTACTTTTGTATATTTGAAAAATTCGATAATAAAAAGTTATTTTATAAAATCAGCAGAAGTAAAATTTGTTCTCTTCTTCCTGAATGTATTAATGTATATGTATAATGTATTTACCATTAAAAATAGTTTTAAATAACATTCCAATAAGAACTTTGCAAGTGATTCTAATGTGCAACCAGAGTTGCATCATAGGCTACATCATTGAAGGAGGGGCAAACTTGATTTGGAACCTAAAGATTTAAAAAGGCAGCAAGAGGCAATCCAGGTGAGAGAGATAAGCTCAGGCTTGCAACAAGATGGAGCCCAGGGAGGATGGTGGGCCAATTTCTGTTATGCCTATATTTGCCTGAATTTTGAGAATCTTTAGCCACAAGTAAACTGTAAATACACACATGTATGTTATGTATATATTTCTGTGTATGTATATGATTTAAGACAGCACTGCCCATTATATTCAGTAGCATGTAAGTTTTTTAAAAACAACAACACCATTTGTGGAAACACTAGCTAGGACCTAACTGCTCTGGCCTGTGGAATGGTCATGCGGAATGGGATTCCCTCAGGCTGCAGGGGTGAGACTGGGGATGTGGTCTTCGGAACTGGCAAGACCCTCATCTACCTCAGTGATTTCAGCTTAGAGGGCCCAGAGTGAACTCTTAAATTGGGTGCTACTTGTGGGATGAAGTCAAGAAGAGCAAACAAGTCTCATCTTAAGGAATAGGAAATGCATGAAAGTTCCCCCATTGCAGCCCCCAAATCCCCAACTCACCTATTCTTCTCCATTTCATTGTGAGTTGATCTGAAAGAGGGAACAATAAGACAAGAGTAAGATTATTTTTATCTGAAAGGACTACTTCAACACCAACAGAATTATTTTGACTTCTTTCTCTCCAAAGTTGGTAGGAGAGAAGAGAAAGGGAAGAAAACCTCAGTGGGCTCTACTAAAGAAATTAGTCCCTTTGGGGCGGTACATGAATGTAAATATCTGAAGTAGAGTTCAAGGAGAGAAGTGACCAACTCAGAGGCACGCATTCCTTAGTGGAAAATCCATTTTAAGAAAGGAAAGAAAAGGGGTCTATTTATACAAAGAGAAAAACAGCTGCACAGTGTGATGTGAATTTGGGTTATATAATTCCACAAAGCTTTCTTTAGGCTGAGGCTACAAGAGTGCCGGTGACATCCCCACCCCAGCCCCGCAGTTTTTTCTAGGTGTAATATCCACCCAAATTTTATGCTAAGTTGTTTGACTACAGGGTTCTTTTAAATGGACAAAACTAACCCGTCAATCTTTCTACTCCCTTGAGCAGCTATTTTATCATGTACAACCTCCTGAAAGATGCTACTATTGAATAGCTACCCAGTGAATTTAGGAAGGGGCTTTCAAAACCCATAAAGACGATAAGACTGGTTAAAGCAGCAGTTAGGGTGAAATTTAAGTCCAGCTTTGCCACTGACTGGTACTGTGGAAGAAATAAAATTTTGTAGCATCCTGTCCTGGGTTAATCCCTCCGTAAAATGGGAATAAAACTTATTGCCAATTATCTTCTGAACAAGTGTAGATCAATGAGGTAGCAACTATAAAAGTGATTAGAGAGCCTTGGATGAAAGCTGTGGTGGGTGTGAAATCATATTTTTAGTGTGTTTATAGCTTGAATATAAGGTGGTCTCAGAATTTATGGACAGGTTTCCACAAAAGTCAGAAGTCAGTCAATGTGACCACTTCAGTGTCTTCCTCACACAATCCTCCCCCCCACTAGTTATAAAGAAACTTGAGGACCCCCCCAGTGTCCCCAGTATTATAAAGGCACTGAATCTTGACCTTTCTTATGGAGATTCTCTGCGTTCTAAGCAGCTGGGGAGATTTCTCCCGTCTCAGGCTATGAATTCTGTGGGGCCATAATCAGAACTTTACTGGGCCTAGGAGATAAATGGAGGGTCACTACTTCCATGAATGCTCAGCCACTCATTTACATCTGGGGGGCAACCATCAAGTTCATGCACACCAGAGACTAGGGGTGGGTGGGATGAGTGAATGGGTGAGTGAAATTTCCAGTCTGGTACTAAAACTTCTCTTTCACGAGGCTCTTGGGATACCAAGTTTTATTCATGAGGAAAAAACAAGAAAATAATGACAATAATTTCAGTTTTAGAATATTTGTTTTCTAGATAAAGGATATGTGAACCTTCAGACTGGTTAACTTGAAAGCGTTAAGTTGATTCACTTAGTTATCCCTCAGCATTCACAAGTTACATTTTTCTGAAGGTTTACTTCCTTCAATGGCCAGCAGGATATCACAGTTAACAGGAAACTGGTCTGCAACTGCAAACCTTTGGCTTTAAAGCACATGGCATTTCAGTTTTAACAGGGAATAACAAGTTCAAAGTCTGACAGATATTTTAAATGGATGAAAGTATATGACAACAGCTGGTCACGATTTCCCTGCAGACAAGGACCATCCTCTCAGAAGGTGGAGGAGGAGAGGGGGGTGGATATTTGAAAAGAACTTGTCTCTGATTAGAGAAAATAACAGCACGCAGGGAACTCTTACCAAAAATTTCTGCATTCTTTGAAGATACATATAAAAAAAATTCTGAGTCCTCAAGATAAACTTGTAAACAAATTCCATAGGAAGCACAACTCCTTCCTAGCTTTGAACAGCGTTCTAGAAACTACGGATCTTATTTGGTTACTTAAGGGTGTTGAACACACGATGATTTGTACAAGGGGTCTTATAACTAATGGCTAGGGCATTACTGAGATGCATTTGGTTTACTGAAACTGAGTTTGTGTTTAATAAAAAGCAGACCTTTCAAAAAATGATCAGTTTAGAGACTTCCTGCCAACTCTGTTGATGGGTAGCCATTTATAGTTTTAATGAAAGCATTACAAAAATATATAGATACCTTGTGTCAAAATTATTTTCCACGTGATTATTGAAAAGATTTGATAACTCTGCAATCACTGATGAAGGTTACATGTCACCATTTAAACGATAACTAAGCCAAACTACAGAATATCTGACAATGGGTTCAAAAGGACTCCATGTCAGGTCACCTATATAGCCACTGTCTCATAAAAGAACTGGGTGCTAAGTCCTGAACTTCCTCTTTTACAGGAGTGCCAAAGATTGCTTTAACAATTCAACAGGACATAATTTTAAAAACTCTGGATTTCAATTCTAAATATTTAGTAGGTGATTTCAAAAATCAGTAGGAAAGAGAAAATAAGATTCCATCTCCTTGTATTCCAGCAGTTCTGTGGGTGATTCCAAACCAATCAATGTTCGCAATTTAGTTTTTGTTGTTTTTTTAAAAGCAACTAGAGAAGCTTAAGATCTGCATTTTCAGTTCCAAGGAAGTTTGATATTTGGCTAAATCTTATTTTTTATTGTCCAAGGAAAAGTACCCTCCAGACCCTAGCATTTCAACATGAATTAACAAGAATAAACTGTCATCCAATGGTTATGTAAACCAGCAGCAATCTCTTTATAGCCTTTACCTCAGTTCTAAATCCTGACCATACATAGCCTTGGATATAAGTCTAATTTAAATCAAGGGATCTAACTGCATTCCCTGGGGAGATGTCTCATTGCTCAGGTAGGGGTCATTCTAAACAGGTCATAAAGAAAGTGGTCACATTTAAACAAAACAAGTGGCTCTTGCTTCATATGATTGCTTGGTGCCAACCCCAGGTTTAATCATGGTCTCTAAGAGAGCCTGGTATCACTGAAGATATTATACTAATTATTAGTCAAGAATATGGACAACTGTGATAGCCTCTTGTCTCTAACCATGGAAAGCACACCAAACCCATTAACAGAATAGAGGTTTTCCAGAAAAATAGGAGTTGCAGCCATTTTTTTTTTCAGGAATAATGCTTCATAGTAAAAAGAGAAAGAACATGTTTCTTGACTTATAATTCTCAACTACCATTATTTTTCTTTCTTAATCACCTGCTGGGACCAAGCCACTTCTCTTCAACAACATCCTCTTTTTTTCTTCTCCCTACCACTGAACACCCCCCAACAGCTTTCCTTTGAAACTTAGGAACGAATAAAGTGCTAAGGATTTATCCTTGACTATTAATGTGGACAATTCCTCTCAAATCACGAGTGGACAAGAATAAAAGCAATAAGTGGACTACACTTTTCCAGAAAAGTAAACCAAAAGGCTTCAGAGTTCTTCCAAACAAAATTAAAAAAATTAATACTGAAACAAAATGCAACACAGCTAAATTGTTTTATACTATTGCATAAGTATGAACATCCATTCTTAAAGGCTCGTGGTACCCATGCACAGATCTATTGGCTACCACCTCAGGTAATGCTAGAGATAGGAGGGAATGGAAAAACCACCAGGTAATTAATTACCAGGTTATCCTTCAGGTGCCTTTCTATTCAAGAGCTCAGCACACGTGTGCTCCTTACATCCTGTGGTTCTAACAACACTAAGGACAATGGGGTGAATCAAAAACAGAGGAGGCAGCAAGAACCAAGTGAGTTGTAGGTTTGGTTTTTAGTGGTCTGTATTAGAGCAGAGAGACTAACCAAATACAGTTACTGGCAGGGAGTTAGTTATTCATGAGGATGGGAAAGGGATAAGGATTCTAAATCAGCGATGAAAATGTCAATAATTTTTATTGGGATGAAAGGTATAATTGAATGGATCTAATAAAACAGATTTCCTAGCTAACTTACATTTTAAGAGCAAAGAGGGGACAAAAGGGCAATACCATTAATGGAGTAGTCATATGTACCAGGAACTATGTTCAGGGCTTTAGTATGTGATTTCACTGACCATTAACAAAATAAAACCTGTGAATCTCACTAGGAATTAAGAACTGTAAGGCTAACATAAAAGGGTTGTGGCATATTAATATTTTAATATTACATGTTCCTCCATCACCAAAAAGGCAGATTTTAACCTGGTTCATTCCTCTTTGACATTATAAATAGATATGACAAATTACATGATCAGACAAACCACTATATTTAATTCACATGTCAAATATGAAATCCTACCACCTACGTCAAGTCAGATGCTTGAACATGTTTATAAAATTTTCACTATGAAAAGTAAAAGAAAGGGATATTATCCATTTCTTTTTTCTTTTCAATCTCCTCAACCAAATCAGAAGGGCTGCCTCCTCCAATGGCTTAAGACCATGTGTGGATTACTGAATCATGATGGCCACTTAATTTACTGGGTTATAATCACAACAGGTAACTTTCATTCTGCAGTTTGTGTCATCTGCGGTATAATCAAAAAAGGGAAAGAGAAATGTTTACCAAATTACCTGCTACTGCTGTTATTCTTCTTGGATTTGTTCCTCCGTTTTAAGGCACCTCTGTCCTTGTTATTGTATGGTAACATGGAGGCATAACCATGTTCAGCTTCTAGAAAACCGGAGGATCCAGTTAATGAATGAGCCTAGGACATCCAATACTCTCTCCCCTCCACAGTATTTCCTTTTAAAAATGTACTTATTTTTCATTAAAAGAATACTGTGGAAACAATTAAACGGAGCAAGGTGGAATTCTCAGAACAATAACTGTTTTTTTAAATTGTGTGAATACCCTCAGTTCGGAGCAGGTGTAAGGAGCATTCCAGCTGCTCATTGTTGAGAAAGACCCAGCAAGTCGCTCAGCGCAAGGAGCCTGGGTCTCCCATTGGCAACGTCCAGCAGGTGTGTTAAGTGGGACCAGCCTCAGGCGAAGATGCGGGTCAAACACCGGGAGCAGGGGTGGGGGGACAGGGAGGTGCTGCTCCTCTGGCTGGGAGACCGGGCACCAGGCCCACCTGGGGACGGACGGGACCAGCCCGGTGAGGTAAACCAGGGGCCTGGCTGAGGGGACCCGGGGGCACGCCACTCTCGACGGGTTGGGGAGGGGCGACACTCGGGACCCCGGGGTGCAGCGGCCCCCTTTCCACCTCCATTCATTGCCTTTGGGGCAGCGGGCGGCTTCCCTCCGAACCGCGCGTGGGGAGAGCTGGAGGGGTTGGGAGCGCTCGCGGTAGCGCTCTCCGCCCCTCCAACCACCCCCGGAGCGGTCGGGTTCCTGGACCCGCAGCGGAGCCCCTCAGAGCCCCCGGCCCCTGCTCGGGTCGGACTCCTCCCGTCCCCGTGCACCTCTCTCCCGCCGCTCCAGGTAGTCGGCCGCCTCCAGCAGCATCTGGATGTTCATCCGAACCGCCGCCGCCATTCTGCACCGGGGGCCGGAGCCACGGGACCAACCCCCACTGCCCACGGGCTCGCCGCCGCCGCCGGACACCCGCGCCCCTCTGTGGACCCGGCAGAGCAGGGTTGAGAGAGCCTCTCTGGCGATCACGCTCGCAGGAAGGGGGAGGGGGCTGGTGAGCTGGGCACCGTCAACACCGTGACAGAACCCAGAGAAGAGCAGCAGTCACCACCGCCGCCGAGTGTTTATCCCGACTCACCATCCCCCCGCCCCCCGTCCCTTCTCTTGACAGGCCCTCTTCGGCTGCGTTCCTCATTGGGCACCCAAAAGACTGCCCCGCCCCTGGCTTTGTCCGATTGGGAAGGGCATAACGGCCCCGCCCCCTGGAGTCCGCTCCTGTCGTTGGTAGGTCAAGTTTGACAAGGCCCAGGCTCCACCTCCTCTCCCCAATTGGTGACAGAATTCGCAACTCCGCCTCGTGCTCCTTCCCTGTTTTCCATTGGTTCTATACCGACAAACGGGCCCCCTTTTGCTTTGTTAGTATTGGCCAAGAGCTACAGAAAGCAAGCCACTTCGCCTGTCTCCCATTGGTGAAGCCTTTCGAAACCTCCCAGCTACGATGACATCACCCTTCTTCAGGCCCGGCTATCCCCGAGTGGCTGGTGGCCAGTAGCCCGGCAACTCCTCCCCAGATCTGGCTTCAGCTGGGAGGGCGACCCCTGTGCCCGGCTGCGCTGATTCACCCGCCGTCGCGGAGCTCGGCTCCACCCGGCCCCTCCCGGCCCCTCCCGGCCTCGCCTGGGACCTGTTGCCGGGACCTGTCCCCCGGGAAAAGTTCCGGGGACCTGCCGGGCGTCTTTCGAGTGTAAGGCTGAAACCGCGCCTCGCCTATGCGGTCTGCCCCGCTTGGGCTCTGGGCCGGAGACCTGGGTCTGGCGGCCGCAGCTCTGGAGGTTCCAAAGCCTCCCGGGATCTGGGCGGCTGAGGGCTCCACAGCGAATCCCTCTGAAGGGAGAGCGATGTTGGCAGCCCGGCAAGTGGCCGGTGGGCTCCAGGCGCAGGCATGCGCCACGTGGCTGTAGGGTTTGAGGGAAAAAGCCTGTTTTTTAATTATGTTAAATGCTTGCTTCCCAGTGTTGCGTTTTTTTCTTCTCTCAGAAAGCGCTAGAATCGGGCGGCTGTATATAGCAGAGCTCCTCTCCAAACACACTCTTTACTACCCACACGCGAGTGGGTTTTAAAAGCCGAGAAACTTTCTGTACCTACAGAATGACGTTGAATTCTGAGAGTTTTTTATCTGAATCTCTTTTAGGGTCTTTCCTTCCCTTTTAATTCTAGATGAAAACATTAAAAAATATACTCCCTTTTCAAGACGGCTATAAGTGTGTGTGTGTGTGTGTGTGTGTGTGTGTGTGTGTGTGTTGTGTGTGTGTGTGTGTGTGTATTGGTGGTGGTGGTGGTACCAATATAAATGTGTATAGAACTGAAAAGTTTACTTAAGGATTTTTCTTCAAGGCTGTCAAGATTTCTGAGATGAAAGTTATCACGAGACTCAAATTACACTGTTAACATACTTGTATCTCCATTTAAAAAAGTAGAAATAAAACTTGGTAAGTTGAGAGTCCTGAATACAGAAATGAATGAAGCGTGAACATATCTGGGATGCCAAAAAATGTATACATGACTTGTATTCATCTTTGGTTATCAGTATATATTATTACAATTTCAATAGTTTTTTTCCTTTCTTAAAATGTGTATACATTTTTTTGGCACCCTCTGTATTTCACAAAGGTTTTACAAAGTTTATTATTGTTGCAAATATATGAAAATAGCTTGCTTTCATAGTTTACACACATTATCTCTATTCCTATTCAACATAACCCCATTAGGTAGGTTAATTATCTACATTTTGCACATAAGGAAACTGAGGTCCACAGATACGAAGTGAACCTAGATCTGTTTCACCCAGAGCCTGTGCTACCAATGCCCCCATTGGCAGTTGTTTTAAAAGACAAGATAGTTAAGAAATAGATTTTTAAGCTGAGTCACAAAACACTAGGGAAAAAGAAAATCATTTAAAGGTAATTATGCTTGGAAATTTTAAAAGGTTTCTTTTTAATGGTTGACAAACTCAATAAAATTAAACTCGATAGAATTGATAAGTAGAATAAACATAATAAATCATACCTGACATAGGAAACACCTTCTGGTTTTAATGATTAGCTCTAAAAGCTGATTCTTTATGAAAACACTAGTAAATATATACTGAAGGTAAGGTTTTCAAGAAAGCACAAAAAATTGGAAATGAGAATGGGGATATAACAATTTTAAGGAGTATTTTTAAACTGCAAGTTATTTGTAAAACAAATTTGAAAATCATAATGAAATGAATACAATTCTTCTAAAGTATCAAAACTGAACTGTGAAAAGTCCTTTGATTTCATTATCTTAATTTTGGATTTTGTATACTTTCATATTTTCTCTTTGATTTTATGATGAATGCACAGCTTATCTCTTTCTTTTTCTCTTACCCTCAACTCATTTTTTTTAACCCAGTCTTATTTCAGTATCATGATCCTTCCCCTAGAATCATCCTGAGTGAGAAATCACCACTTATAAAAAATAAAAAAGGAGAAAAGGTTGAAATCTGAGTCAGAAATAGCAAATAATTTAAACAGGTATATCTTAAACTTCAATCAAAAATACGAAGTTATGTAACCATCAGAGAATGGACCCTTACTGTTCCCTGGTGGTGGTGGAAGAAATGATCCATTAGCCAGCAACACCAACTAGGAATTAGTATCATGAAGATGCTATTAAAGGGTATTTGGTGCCATCTACTGGAAATCAAGCAGTATGAAAAAATGGTGGTTTTTTTCCTACATTTTACACAATGTATATATACAATGACAAGTAAAATAAGATAACCGGAAGGTACAGGTTTTGAAGAATTGAAAAATCCTAAAACAAAGTAGAAGTGGTGACCCTCAGTACCTTGCCCCTCAAAGACATTACATAAACATTAACTGATAGGCACAACCCCAAAAATAAAAATTGGGAATTCCAGAATGTTTGAACCTGAATTTTATGACCAGAATTTTACATAAAAAGCTATGTGTAATAGGATTAACAATGGGATGACAATCATTTATATATATCCAAGCAGGCATCAAGAAGACCTAATAGAATTGGGAAAGAAAATGTTGAAAATGGGATAGCAGAAAGACATAAGCTATTATATCAAGCCAGACAAGCTTTACTACATCTTTTAGAAAGCTAAGCCTCAGTCTGCTGCCTTTGAGGGGCTTACACTCCGGGTGGGTATAGGATAGTATGTAAATGCCAATGCTGAGTGAGCAGCAGGTTCATTAAATGCTTCGGAGCTTCTGACAGATGCCTCTTCAGTGAGGACCTCAGAGTGGCAAGGCAAAGACTGCTGGTGTATTATAATCCTTAAATTTCTACAGAGTTCCCAAACTGGAATTAAAAAACCTTAATTTATAACTGAGTTTGACATCTCCTAACCATTATGACATTAAAATAAGTTTTGTTTTATTAAGTTTTTGAGGAATTGATTTTGTTCTTTGAGGTGTAAAAATCGAGACTGAAATTTCCTGCTTCAATAATATTGATCCCCTTCTTTGTGGCTACTTTGGACACTCCAATATCATGATATCCAATATCATATTTTTAAAAACACTGCTGTGCAAAAATTAGTTACTCCACAAATATTTGTGATTGTAAAAACAGAGCAATGGCTAAACAAATAGTGGTATATATATTACACAAAACACTGTATCAGTTAAAAAAAAGGTAGAGGTACATATATACTAGTATGGAAAGATATGACAGGCGGTGTTGAGTAAATAATTAGTTGTAAAATGATCCCTACATCATATTATTTGTGGTGGTGGGGGGGGAAAAACGCCAAAACAAAGTATTTTCCTCATTTCCGACTCTTACATGCATACATAAAAGTCTGGAAGGATACAGAGAAGGATTCTCAGTGAAGAAGGGACAATAGGATCAGGATTATGGGGTACTGTTCAAAAGGGATTTAGCTTTGTCATAATATTTTAAAATTTTTACAGGGAAAAATGTGTCCATCTATTACTTGGATAACTAAAAGTTAACACAAAAATCAAGGGAAGCAGCTAAGTAAAAAAAACTCACTGAACTACATTTACAAATTCAACAGATATTTATTGAGTGCTTTACTCTGTGCCAGAAGCCCCATTTCTTGTCTAGTGAGAGAACCAGAAAGTAATAAATGAATATAGTGTGTCAGGCAGTGATAAGTTATAAGAAAAAGGAAACTGCAGAGAATGTGGGAAAACCAGAACCCTCGTACATTGCTGGTGAGAAGGTAAAACAATGCAGCTGCTTTGGAAAACAGTTTGATGGTGTTTCAAAAAGTTAAAGACAGAGCTACTATATGACCCTGGAATTCCACTCCTAGTTATATACCCAAGAGAATTAAAAACATATTCATACCAGAATTACTCATAATAGCCAAAAAGTGGAACAACCCAAATGCCCATCAACTGATGAATAAAAATATCTCATGTCCATAGAATAGAAAGAATATAATTCGGGCCATAAGAAAAAATGAAGTACTGATACATGTTACAATATGGATGAACCTTGAAAACATTATACTAAGTGAAATAAGCCAGGCACAAAAACCACATATTGTATGATTCCATTTACATGAAATGTCCATTTATATGAAATTGTCCAGAATAGACAATTTCTGGACATTGTCTAGAAATAGACATAGAGACAAAGTACATTAGTGGTTTCTGGGGTGGGCAGGGATGAGGAGTGACTGTTAATGGGTAAAGAGTTTCGTTTTGGGGTGACGAAAATGTTTTGGAATTAGTGGTGATTGATGCCAGGGTCCAGACTGTTCAGGCTTGTGGACCACAGTAGACTGGACTTTATTCTAAATGATAGAAAACCACCAGAGCCAGGAGCAATGTGACCTGATGCACATTTAAAAAGGTGTACACCTCTGCTGCTGGATGGAGAATAAACTAAGGCAGCAAAAGAAGGAAAGAGACCTATTAGGAGGCTACTGCCATAGTCTACAAAGAGCAACTGTATAGTGATAGGTTAGAACAGATGGTGAAAAGTGGTCAGAAATCACTATAGTGTACACTTGAAATATCTTACAATTTTATGTCAATTATACTTCAATAAATCTGTACAACAAAAAAAGTGGACTCAAAATATACTACCAGGTTAGAGCCAAAAGAATTTGCTAAGGA